CACCCATTTCATAAAAAATTTTTGAAGTCTGCCTTATCACTGAGAATAAAATCAATTTAGTCGATGAAGGCAGATTGAAGCTATTGATTTTTTTATGTAAGATATTCATCGTGCACTCAGTATTCACACATAAGACACTATTTTTCGCAAAGCATATACATTTTTGTGATTAAGCCTTGAATAAATTATGTCATTCATCGGAAAATGTTCTTGCTTTTTTGTCACTTTCAAAACATGCTTACTTTTATCATCCAATACAAAAAAAAACTCCGATAATATAGATGCAACTGTCTCTCCTTCACTCCCAACATCTCTGATTGTCCTCATTCAAAACTCATTGTCAGAAGACACATGTTGTGGATGTGGATGTGGATATGGGTGTCAACAAAGAAAAGGCTAACACCCCACACCCAGAACACCTTGCTTGTATTGTATTTGTATATTGTCATGATTGATTTTTCCACCTTTGAGTTGTCGTATGGCCCGGTAAGCTGTACTTGGATCATGTTGCTTGATTGCTTTTTCAATATCCTCACTTATTTCATCCGAGTATTCCGTTCGTCGAGCCTCTACTTTTTGGTTTATTAACTTTCTTAGTCGACGATATTTGTCTCGATATTTTCGTTATAACTTAGTACCATGATGATTTGACTTTCTTGCACCATTTTTTTTCTTGACTGAATATCTTACCACTCAGAATCTTGGCATAATCAGTAGATTCAGCATATTTTTCATTAATCGTTTTCTTTTGATTAATATTTTCCACCTTTCTGTTTGATATTTCTTCTTGAAATTTCTTCCTCAAAGTACTATCTTTTATTTTATTACTATCCAATTGGTGATGTTGTGGTTTATTAGACTTCTTTCGACTTCTCAGATGAAGTTTCAATTTTGTTCTTATAAGATGATGATCAGTACCAATGGCTCCAGCAGCAGTTCTGTGTACTCGGACATCCTCCACACTTGAACGAAATTTTTATTTAACAAGTGTATAATCTAACATGTGCCATTTTTGTTTCCTGGATGTCTCCAAGACAGTTGGGGTATAGGTTTATGCTGGTAGAACGTATTATTGGCCACGATCAGGTTATTGTACCAACAGAAATCTATCACTCGTTTACCATTCTCATTTATTTTATGTGCAGCATGAGATCCCATCACATTGCTAGTTGTATGATGTTGTTGTTTACCGATCCCCTAAACGAATCATAACTATTCTTTCACTTACCGCCTCCCATACCGAAAGAGATTCCTTCCAACAGCTTCGGCGCCTCATTATCTAGATATATCGCCACGTCATGAGCAGACCTTGTTTTGTTGTAGCTAGGGGCGCCAGAGTGTGGGTGTGGGTGTGGGTGTGGGGAGGGTATGGGTGTGTGGGTGTGGGGATGGGGGTGTGGGTGTGGGGATGGGGGTGGGTGTGTGTGGGTGTGGGTGTCGGTATGGGTGTTGAAAAAGAAAATACTCAGACGCCACACCCACCCAAACACATATCCACACGCACACCTACATCCACCCACACCCACAGCCATATCTACACCCACACACGCACATCCATATCCACAGCCATATCTACACCCACACACGCACATCCATATCCACACCCATATCTACACCCACACACGCACATCCATATCCACACGCACACCCTCTTACAAGATTGTGCCCGAACAGCCTCGTATCGCCCAATTTTTGCTTTTTTCATTACATTTTTCAAAAAAAAATAATGTCAAATTCGTAATCGTCATCAAAAACTGCGTCGATTGATATATAAATCAAGATGTTTCAGTTTCAAGAATGCTTTAAAATTTTTTGTCTGGGTACTCCTAGGTTACCATTAGGATTATTTTTCAAAAAATTTATTTTAGTCAAAACTATACAAATAACGTGTCTACATATTCAGTTTTTGATGAATATTACGAATCGGCTATTATTTGTTGTGAAAATGTGTGCATGACGAAAGAAAATCGTTAAGTATTCGCCCATTTTACCATGTAATTCAAGACACTTCAATAATTCCATTGGCAATAATTGCTCTAATTACAGTCATAAATTAGAGTCTTGCGGAAACGGCTTTTCCCCTAAATTTTCCCGTTCCCATCAGGGTTGCCAGATGAAAACTTAAAAAATCAGAAATTCTTGTTTTGAAAAATCAGAAAAAAATCAGAATTTTGTCTCCAAAATCAGAAACTAATCAGAAAGGGTAACTTTTTTGCAAACAAAGGGCTATCATGTTGACATACTTGCACAAAATGCCTCACTTTTTTGTTTATCGATTCATACTTTATTCCCAAAAGTATTTCATAGCAAAGAAAGACAATACAAGCATTATATCGTTTAGAGTAAAATATCGTGTACTATAAGCTAAGAAGATTGATCATAGTCGGATCAAATGAATGCTCTCATTGTCAAATCAACCAATTAAAAACATGAACTGCTAAAAGCATACAGTATAAAAAAATCGGTTTTTACCGAACCCCCATAAAAGGTTCCGGAGATGTCTAAAAGCGTCCAAAGATGTCCAAAGTCTCAAAAAAAGGATAAAAGAATCTACGAAACCTTTAAAGGTTCTTACTGTGTACACAGGATAAGAACCTTTTCCTGCGAAACATTTTTTTAAGTTCCGTACAGCAGAAAAAGTTTTCGTAGGAAAATACGAAACCTTGAGAGTTTCGTATTTTCCTACGAAATCATGAGGGTTTAGTACGAAACTATTAGGGCTTAATATGAAACTCTAAAGGTTTTGTATTTTCCTACGAAACCTTTTTCTGCTGTACGGAACTTAAAAAAATGTTTCGCAGGGAAAGGTTCTTATCCTGTGCACACAGTAAGAACCTTTAAAGGTTTCGTAGATTCTTTTATCCTTTTTTTGAGACTTTGGACATCTTTGGACGCTTTTAGACATCTCCGGAACCTTTTTTGGGGGTTCGGTAAAAACCGATTTTTTTAGAGGGTACACAGACCGAGATATTCGAGTTTCAAGAAATGTACAGTTTGTTTTGTGTCCATACTACGAAATTTCATCAACACTTAGTTTTCTTTTTTCGTCATGGTTGGATGGAGCACGACCATTTACAAAAGAAAAAAACAATATCACGAATATTAAAAAGAAAAATCTACGAAGTCTAAGACAAATTTTTTTTAATTATAAGTGTAGTAAACAAAAAATTATAATTGCTGTCAAATTGCTTTTAAATATGTGTGATATTTCTTCCTCTTATGTAAATTGTCGTGTTCCATCCATCCATGACGAAAAAAAACTAAGGGCTGATGAAATTTCGTAGTATGGAAACATAACAAACTGTATATATCTTCAAATTTAAACATCTTGGTCTGTGCACCCTACAGACAGCTCGTGTTTTAAACTATTTGGTCTGTGAATGGGAACATTCATTTGATTCGACTATGAACAATCTCTTTAGTTTGCAGTTACATGGCCTTCAATTGTTAGTTAATACAAATAAGAGCTAGCAAAGACACCTGGTGTCGGATTCTTTTACGAAAACCCAAAACTCTGTTTACGAAAAATATGTGCAAACAAATCATATATGAACTATCCAGATCGAAAAATCTTACGAAAAATAATAAGGGTTATAGAACATAAATTCCATATTATTCTTCAAGTTTTCCTTTGTTTCAAATTCCTTCCATATATGTTTTTGATCTAAAATATGTTTACAAAATCGTTCAAAAAAATAATTTGCATTCATTCTTTAGTTCAGCAACTCAAAAATTTACTGATATATTAAAGTATTCGTCAATGGTTGCAAAACTCAAAAACTACCAAAGATTAAGAAAGCAAAGAAGGTAGCACAATACGGATCTATAATATAAATGAGTTATAGTCGTAATTAATTTCGCTAGTAAAGTTACGATCTAAAAACGTTTGGAATCGGCAACAAATCAGTAAAAAGTACCTAAATCAGAAAAATCAGAAGGTCAGAAAACAATCGGAAAAATTTTCAAATTTCAGAAACTTTCCTGAGTTTTCAGAAGATCTGGCAACCCTGGTTCCCATTCCCATTCCCATGGGAATGGGAATTCCCATATAAACTCAGGGAATGGGAACATGGGAATGGGAACGGAACTAAAAATTGACGTTCGCAAAATTCGTTGTATCTTATTTTAATATACTTAAAAATATTTCTATATAACAGCTGTTTATTTTCAATAACTATTCTTATTCTCACACAATTAACAGAAAAAAGACAAGTTCATTTATTTTTAACTAAATCGTATTTCAATCATCATAACTATCATTTTCTTTTTCATCATCTTCGAAAGTGATATCATCAAGATCATCTTGTGCTACATTATAATCACCATCTTCTCCTTCTGAAAAAAAAGCTAGTATATGGCAATGATACTTTTTCTCATAGATGAGTAGAGCGTAAGAAAAACTTATGGGAATGGGAACATGGGAATGGGAACATTTTTTTTCTTTGGGAATGGGAATAGGGAATGGGAACCAAGAAAAGTTGTTCCCGCAGGACTCTATCATAAATCCCATTTTGGACATGATTTCATTTGGTATAAAATTTGTTACTGATGCTTTTTAAAATCACAGCGTTACCTCCCTGGAAAAACATTTTTACGCACCCTGTGCATATTTATGATATGAGCACATGTATGCTGATTCATCAAAATATAAAACATTTGTATAGTGGTGCTTGATAGTTCTAAATAGAAAAGAAAAAAATTTTTCTCGATTCATTTCACCATACGCGCGTAATGATATCTATTAGAATATTCTCAATAAAAAGAAATTTCTTTTCCTTTCTTCGTGGCTTATTCACGTCAAGTTATTTTTCGTTCTGTGTAATTAAGTTTTATGTTATTCGTCAGCATCATTATTTCACACAACGTTGCTCAAACCATAAGAAAGAACAGTAAACCGAATCATCAAGATATTATAAAAGTCTGTGTCGTCTCAATTTTCTTTATTCATTCGTATCAGACATATAAAATATCTAATTTACTCTTACTAATCAACAAGCACCATGCAGATCTTCGTGAAGACACTCACTGGTAAGACTATCACTCTCGAAGTCGAAACTTCGGATAGTATCGAAAAAGTGAAGGCCAAAATTCAGGATAAAGAAGGCATTTCATCTGATCAACAACGTCTTATTTTCGCTGGCAAGCAGCTCGAAGATGGTCGTACATTGAATGACTACAACATTCAAAAAGACAGCACTCTTCATTTGGTGCTTCGCCTTCGAGGTGGTATGCAAATTTTTGTCAATACTATGACCGGCAAAAGGCTCACCATCGAAGTTGAACCAGATGAATCCATCGAAAATCTGAAAGTCAAAATTCAAAACCAAGAAGGTATTCCACCTGATCAACAACGCCTCATCTTTCTTGGCAAGCAACTCGAAGTCGCTCATACACTTAATTACTACAACATCCAAAAAGAATCAACAATTCATCTTATTCTTCGTAAGTAGCAGAGCTTCTGCATTTTGTTTCTACCTTATATCTCTTATTTTTGTCCTATAGGTTTACCAGGTGGTGGAATTTCAACAGTTCCAAGGCTAGGATTTTCTGTGGGTGGTGCAAAAGATGTGAATAATTTTCGAGAAAATATTCAAAATAATTATTTACCGATCATAACAGATTTATCATATGAAGGTCTTTTTAATGATTATTTTTTTAATACTGGTAATCAACAAGAAGATAGTAATGATAAAAAATTATTTTGTCCATCCTACACAATGGCTATCACAAAAAATCCTTTACAAGAAGACAAAGAACAACAATCTTGTGAATATTACATGACTGTTGGATTGAATTCTAATTTAAATGAAAATACATTTAAACGAAATCCAATGAATCTACTTATCTGTATCGATGCAAGTGGATCAATGTCATCACCATTCAATCGCTATCATTATGATCGACGTCGTTCTAACAAGTATGTAGATAAAAGAGAAAGAGAACTGAGAGGATGTAATAGTGCTTTATTCTCATCTGATGAAGAAATGCATCCTTTTAATTTTTTTAGTGGTGGAAACGAAAATATTGAATACGATACTCGTTCAAAAATGCAAATAACACTTGAAGTTGTTTCAAAAGTACTGGATCATTTACAGCTCAATGATCGACTAGCGATAATTACATTTGATAGTAAAACATCAGTGATTCAAAACATGAAGCAATTAAACGAAATTAATATAAAAGAATTAAACAATAAATTATCCAAAATTCATGCTGGTGGTGGTACAAATATGAGTACTGCTATTGATTGCAGTGCATCATTATTTGATAATAATTCATTGATGACAGATAATGAATATAACAATCGAATTTTATTTCTTACTGATGCAGAACCAAATCAGGGTGATTTAGATGAAAAACATTTTAATTCACGTATTGAACAATTGGCAAAACATCGTATTTATACAACATTTATTGGTGTTGGTATTGATCTGAATACTCAACTGATATCTTCAATAACAAAACATCGTGGAGCCAATTATTTTTCTGTTCATGATTCGAAAAATTTTCTTCAACTTTTAGACAAAGATTTCGATCTGATTGTGACACCATTAGTATTCAATGTTAAAATGAAACTTGAATCAGATCTATTCGATGTTGCACATGTTTATGGTTCACCTGAATGGGATAAAACAAAACAAGATGAATTAATTAAAATAAATACATTATTTCCGTCACGAACAGATGATGAAAATTGTACACGTGGTGGAATTGTTTTGTTAAAATTGAATACAAAACCGTCGTCAACAGATACATTTATTTTTCCAGCATACTTTTCAGTAACATATGAAGATCGTCTTGGCAACACATATGAAGATAAACAATTGATCAATATTAATGTGAAAAATGAGATTAATTATGCAAATACCGGTATTCGAAAAGCTATTCTTTTAGTTAATTATGTAACTCTATTGAAAAAATGGATAAATGATGAACGAGAACGGATATATAATAAGAAGAAAACATTATTTGATTTAAGTGAAACGACTGCTGAAAATTTAAGTGACTGGGAACGACAATCGACAAAATTAACTGTGTCGAATCAATATCGAAAACAATTTAAAATATTTTTAGCTTATTTTGAATCGGAAATGGCAATGGTTAATGATAAAGATTTGGAACAAGAAATTAAAACTCTGAAAAAATTAATTGATTATGAAGAATAACTGTCTCGAAAAACATTATTTGATTTTTATCAAAAATCACATTTATTTATTCAAGCTTTCGATAGGTTACACCTATCATCATCAGGAATGACAAAACAAAAAGAAAAACTATGCTTATAAGGGCGTGTTCAACCATGGGGTACCTCAAATTTTTTTTTTGCTTATACAACTTTATTTAAATATTGAGAAAAGGTAATTTTTTACTAATTACAATGCAGATGTGATGCCAAGGATCTATTGTTGTTTGAGGTCTGTATCTGAATGAAAACAAGGATTAATAAGTATCTTTCTATAAACATTTTGTTAAAACACTTCGTATGTCATCTTCCAACGTGCGTCGTTTTTCATTAGTTATTGTTTCGTGGAAACATGTGACGAGATAATATTCTTTTTCCTTTCTCTTTTTTTTCTGTGAAACTTATAATATTCATGGTATATGTGTCACGCATAGCAACATTTCATTCGATTCGCTGTATCTTCTGTCCCAATCACATTGTTCGTGTTCGAACTAAAAATTTTCTTTTCGATTTTGTCGGTCCTACCTTTTCTTGAACACATTCTCAGTCAAATACAAAAACTTGTATTTTGTATTATGTTCTCACTACAAGTTAAATGGGGTTGTTCTCAATGTCGATCTACTATTACTGATCGTCGAAAATATTGTATTGATTGTCATTCTATGTTAACTTGGACATGTATTGGCTCGGGAAGATCTGGATTATATACGCACTTTTTTCGGCATCGTGATAATTGTATTCATTGTGCGTCAGAAATGGAAGATAAACCACAGGAAGTAGAAGAAAAACATCGTGATATTCAAAAACTTCAAAAATTGAATAACGGTAATTGACACTTAACCATTTGATATAGACGTATTCCTTTTATTTATATTCTGTAGAACAACGTCCGTGGTCTGAATGGGATCGTACTTATGAATCTTGTGTACAACATACAGGACATGATATTGAACAAGTGCACCAATTATATTCGATGTGTGAACAATCACTTATAAAATATTGCTTGCATAGAACAAAGAAACAATCAGACAACATCAACACAACATCTTTATCTCCGATGAATTTACTTGTAGTGACTTTGTGGTACTTAAAGCATTATCATTCGGAACGCTATATTGCTACTGAAGTAAATTTCAGTCTATCTACAGTGCATCATATTTTAACAGAGGTTGTGGACATATTACATTCATGTGTATATCCAGAGCTCGTTTCATTACCAGCCGATATGGACAGTAAAAACACAGCACATGGACCTGAAGAACACCATAAATTAATAGTTGATTAAACTTCTATTGCTGTTCCACAACCTAATGATTCACAGCAACGTAAAGCTTATTTTCACTCGAAAAGTGCAACAAATTATGCATTTAAGATACAGATAGCTTGCGACTTTAATTATCGAATAGTGCATGTTTCCGAAAGTTACCCTGGAAGTGTACATGATATCACCATTCTACGCGAATCACTATTATTAGAACACGTGAACGACTCTGTGCAAATTATTGCTGATAAAGCATATATTGGAGAAGAATATGTCATTACCCCAAAGAAGAAACCTCATAGAGGCGAATTATCAACTGAAGAAAAGAACTTTAACTATGATATCAATAGTGCAAGAGCAGCTATTGAAAATATCAATCAACGTATCAAAACTTATGCTATTCTTGGTAGCGTTTACAGAGGAGCTATTGATGATTTCGATAAAATTACCAAGATCTCACAGGTTGTTTGCGCTTTGTGTAATCTTAATTTAATTAAACATCCTATTCGAAAATAGAAAATATGAAAAATTGGTTACATTATTGATCAAGTTTATGAAAATAAAACTTTTCTGATGCACTCTAAGTTATTTTAATTTTCTATATAGTAGTTCATATACGCTCAGAGATGACATACGAAGTGTTTTAACAAAATGTTTATAGAAAGATACTTATTAATCCTTGTTTTCATTCAGATACAGACCTCAAACAACAATAGATCCTTGGCATCACATCTGCATTGTAATTAGTAAAAAATTACCTTTTCTCAATATTTAAATAAAGTTGTATAAGCAAAAAAAAAATTTGGGGTACTCTATGGTTGAACACGCCCTTATAAACATAGTTTTTCTTTTTGTTTTGTCATTCCTGATGATGATAGGTGTAACCTATCGAAAGCTTGAATAAATAAATGTGATTTTTGATAAAAATCAAATAATGTTTTTCGTAGCCGTTCTATACTCACTTTTCTCTTATTTACATTTTACTGCTCTTCAACCTCAATTTATAATAACTGTCTCTGTCTTTTTTTAAAATATCTTTTTAAAATAAATAATTTTGAACATCTAGAGTAACTACTAAATTAAAGTCAACAAGATAACCGTTTTCTATTTCATCGTTTCTATTAAAATAACTTTTGTGGTGTGGTTGTGGGTGTCTGGGTGTGGTTGTGGATGTGTGGGTGTGGTTGTGGGTGTGGTTGTGGGTGTGGTTGTGGGTGTGTGGGTGTGGTTATGGGTGTGGGTGTGGGTGTAGATAGCAGAAACACCCACACCCACATCCTTGTCACATTTACCTGAATAGGTTCCATCTGAAGTAGCTACAGCTCATTTTCAACTTGTTTTACCACGTGACCTTCGTTTTGGTATTGATTCAATTCCAATTGGTATATGTTATGCTGGAACAGGTGATCATGGTTTTAATCGACGAAGACTATTTACTGCAGTCCCATTAATTAATCAATATTGTATAGGTTCAATTCTTCTTGAAAATCCATATTATGGTTTAAGAAAACCACCCCATCAATCTCGTTCATCATTGTTTTACGTTACCGATTTATATATAATGGGTAAAGCACTTATTTTAGA